CCCCAATGGAAATAAGTTAGACAGTCCTCGATGACGCACTGACTTTCTTGGGTTATCCTGGGTGGCTAACCCTCCGGGGTTAAAAATCCGAACGAAATCTTATCTTAACATCAAGGAACCTTCCTTGAGGGGAGAGCCTCTATGCGGAGGCGAATATTCCACCCTTGACCGATCGCCGTGATGCTCATTGCCTTCGCTATTACGTTCACTCTCATGACCTGTCCTCCATACCCTTTTGCAGCGCTGTATAGCCCTTGTGGCTTAGCGCTTCTTTTTGATTATAATAATAATCCATACCCTTTCCCCTCAATCAGACAATACCATCTTAGGAGATGTATCTCCTATTTTGAAAGTTCTCATATGCTAGCTGTCATTTTTCTGCCATTTGCTGCATTTGTTTTATTGTGATCTGTTATTATTTTTCCTAATTTTGCACTTCTCTTATATTCTAGTAAGTTTATTCAGGAATACACAAATACAGTTACATAGATTATCATACATAGCATCACATGTGTAGAGAGCCTAGGATAACCCAAAAAGGTGATTTATTTCCATTGGGGTCCTTTTAATACCTTATTATACTATGAAGAAGATAATATCTTATTATTATACTATAAATGAGATATACTAGGAATAAGGTAAAATGAGTTATTTGCATTTACATGTGTTAGCTAAAAAAAAATAAAAAATAATTCTCCTCACTTTGTTACTACATTCATTAGGCAACTCTTGGCTCTCTTCTTGAACTGGCTCATGCTATGACTGGCTTTAACATGTGAAGGCAGTCTGTTCCATTCCTTTATTACTGTACAATAAAAGGTGTTTAAAGCCTGGCCACTGACTGTGGGTACTACAAAGTTGTGCTCTCTCCCTAGTACATACTATGATTGCTTTGGTTCTCAGCCTTGACAAAATTGACAGCAAGATATTCTGGACACTATTTGTGAGCAATTTTACAAACTTGATTTAACTTCAATTGTTTTACTCTGTCTGCAACATTCAGCATATCTAATTGTTGTAATTCATCCTGGCCTACATGTTCTCTTGGACCCAGGTCCAGGATGAATCTTACCATATTGTTCTGGGTGATTTGTAGTCTAGCTTTCAGTTTTCTGTTAAGGCAGAGTACCATGAAGAGCAAGTGTAGTCTATATGACATTGTATAAGGGCTAGATATAGGGTCCTGTGAGCCTCAGTAGATAGATACTGTGCCTCAGTAGGTAGACACTGTGCTTGTCTGTAGAGGAACTTCAGTCTGACATTTGCTTTCTTTACTACACCGTTCCCTATCAATTCTCCTGACATGCATAGGTCAAAGATGATTCCCAGATATTTTATTGAGGAAACTGAAGTGATGGGTTCCCCATTACACCGGACATTAAAATTATTTACCCTTCTGGAGTTTACCTGGAGAGAGTTCTGGGGGTCAATGCCCCTGTGGCCCAGTCTGTGACCAGGCCTCGTGGTGGATCAGAGCCTGATCAACCAGGCTGTTACTGCTGACTGCACGCATTCCAACGTACGAGCCACAGCCCGACTGGTCAGGTACCAACTTTAGGTGCTTGTCCAGTGCCTGCTTGAAGACTGCCAGGGGTTTATTGGTAATCCCCCTTATGTATGCTGGGAGGCAGTTGAACAGTCTTGGGCCCCTGACATTTATTGTGTTTCTCTTAACATGATAGTGACACCCCTTCTTTTCATTGGGGGGATGTTGCATTGTCTGCCGAGTTTTGCTTTCGTAGTGAGTGATTTTCGTGTGCAAGTTCTGTACTAGTCCCTCTAGGATTTTCCAGGTGTATATAATGGTGTCTCTCTTCCGCCTGCATTCCAGGGAATACAGGTTCAGGAACTTCAAGTGCTCCCAGTTTGTTTAGTGCCAAAGAGTATGGCTTCCGTTTTCCCGAGGTGTAACGATAGTTTGTTGTCTACTAACCATTTGCTGCAGGACTCCAGTTCCAGTGGGTCTTTACCGGACACTAACAGAGCACTGTCATCACATACAGTAGGAGTTTGCACTTGACACTGATGGTCATGTCGATTAAAAGTAAAGACCGAAAAACTAAACCAAACTAGAATTCGTGTGAAATAGTTAGCATTTAGCATTAGCTTCCGCTAATTTTTACAGTTGTTTAGTAGTGTACCATTAGCGGTTCCAATTTTTTAGCTAGGGGATTAGCAATTAGCGAAACTAACCACTAATCCCCGGGACACCAAGCTCATTTTGAAAGTTATTTAATCAAATCCTGCCACATGCAGTGGACAACAAAAGAGATTTGAAATGCTTAACAATTCGCAAACAGGCAAAATTATTTACAAACATTGTCTCTGTCCACAGCAGGACTCGAACCTGCAAACTCTGTATCGGAGTAACCAGTACTTTACCATGGAGCTAGACCTCAGATAAGTATGGGTGCCTAGCTTGAGCCAGATGATGTTTCCCCATACCCCAGGGCACCAAGCTCCAATATTTGTTGAGCATTGTTCACCTCTCGTCTTGTTCATTTTCTATTTGCACTGTGTGCAGCCTTTGTTTCTGTGAACAAAATGGCTCCTTAAAAGCAATTAACCCTTTGACTGTCAAACTATAGAACTAAGCATTACTGCTAGCCCCCCCAGACATAATCAGCATGCTATTTTTCCTGCATTCAAATTTGCCAACAGAGGCCTGATAGGCCTAGACAGTAGTGTGTGTGCACAGTATTAAAGCAGAGTTTGCCTTCGTTCTTGATACAGATGCAATATTCTGTAATATTATTGCATTTGGAGTTGCATGAGATTTTGGCATCATGAGCAGTGAGATATGATTTTCAAATAAAAGCAATCATAACCCACTATCGTAACTTTAAATTCAGAATAGAAGATTACTGTTCCACACAACAGCATTGAGTTAAGTACCTGCTTCTTCATGCTTAGGACAGTACAAACAATTAAACATTATTTTATTTTATTCTGTGAATAAAAATAATTTGTATATACAGCATTTACAATGAAGTGTGTGTTGCGGTTCCAGCCGCAAAACGCCAACAAGAAACGTACATTCGTTACATAAAATTTACTCCCTGAATGACCCAGCAGGGGGTGGAAGGGAAGCTTCGGACTTGGATCACTAAAGTAACAAAATGCAAAAATATTTATATAAAAATATTAAGTCTATACAGTTTATATACAGCTATTGAATGAATGATGGTGAATGTGCTTTCTTCTTTGGGTCCCCCTACATGGGTGGAAAAGAGCTGATATGGTCACAAATACTAGAGTAATCTCTAGAAATTAGGAAGGACGAGTTTAGATTTTGGTGGTTTAATTTGTCCCATCCTCAGAGTGAACAGTGGTAGTGAAGAGAGGTAGGAGTCTTATCATTTATACTGGAAGTTAATGCATACTCAAAATTACCCATATAGATTTATGATAATTTTAAAGGACAAATAAATTTATTTTATAAAGCAGACTAATTAAGTGCTTTAGGTATTGTGAAAAAAATATGAATTGATCAAAATGGAAGAACTTATAATTTTCATTCAGGCTTGTAAACAAATCCTCTTGATTTTATCATAAAAATTTTATAGTTATTTAAAGAAAAATCTTTGATCAAACAATTCAACATTCGAGCTAACTTACACTTGGGTTTTAGCATACCAAATATAACACTCAAATTGTATGTAGATTTAATGACCATGTGTGTGTGTTAGATAGGCTTTAAACCCAGTTAACTAATGTTTGTTGCATTAACATCAGATTCAAAATAGATGTAAAAAAGTAATTTGTGTGAATGTTGGTATTTTTTTGGTTGCCTTTGAACAGATTGATGTGGTAATGTTCACAGACTTACAAGCAATATTAGTAAAAAGATGCATGTGCATCTAATTAGACATTTTATTGTGGCAATGTTTCACGCTCCTGGAGGGCAAAACGTTGTCACAATATCACCTCGCATTAGTTGTACATGCATTTCTTTTTTCTAAGAGATTGATGTTGGAGTACAACATGTCGTGTGGTCTAAATATTTGTATCAGATTATGCAATAGTTGACAATTCTTACAGATTTATCAGATTTCTGAACTTTCATTTACTAAAAGTGACACTGATTAAATGTTACCAGTAAACAGATTTTTTCTTTTTTTTTTTGAGGCTGTCATATAATTTTAAAGGTGAATTTTGGAGCTGTGATGTTACACAATGTTGTTAGTGTCAGATATTGTAACTGCTTAGACATTACATACGTATGTCATTGAGGTGGAATCCCACATGCTGATGTTAGGTTAGGTAAGATTTGTCAGGAAAAAGGACTGGTTTCTTGATGTGGGTCTTAGTCATATGATAACCTACAGCTGGAGCTTTCGGTCATCTGAGGCCTTCCACTGTTTTACCGGTCCACCCCTTTAAAAATTATGGTTATGATTATAACCATATCATTCAGTAATAAGGCTGTGTGTACACACACACATGGAGGAGCTGTAACTTGACCCCTGTAATCACGTATAAGTGAATACACACCCACCCACCCATGCTAATTCGTAACTTTCTCCAGTGTTTTATGGCTGCAAATACTTAAAGGACTTTTTTTGGTTGCCGTCCAATCCTCTTGCTCAGCATTTACAAAATAATATACCCATAATACTTGGTTACCCAATGTGTTCATAGAGAAGACCAAATTAATTTGACTTGCTGAGTGATTATTTTTTTTATTTTAATGGAATCTGTAATGCATCTACTGTACATAAGTATTATGATAACAGATCTTTACTATGTGTAAGTCACAGTGTAAAATGTAGAAGTTTGAGGAACATATTTTATATATAAATGTTTACTTGCTGTTGAATACAGACATACCTCGTTAATATGGAACTCTAGAGCGCTTGGCTAATGTGGTACTTTTCAGTTATTTATTATTTTCAGTGCTTGCCTTGCTCTTAAGATGGTTTTCAGCAATTTTTATTTTTATTGCATTTTTTAGGCCTAATGCTACTGTGCACTTAATAATAGTGTAAACATCTTTTTAGGCTTTCATATGTGCTGACAAGTAAACAAAGGCTGTGGTTTGCTTTAAAGTGATATTTGCTGTACAGCGGTGGTCTGGAACGTAACCTGCCGTGTTAACCAGGTATGCCTGTATATTTAAAGAACTTAATTGCAGTCTAAACTTTGCATTATCAATGAACTAGCAAAGTAGAATGCTTTGATTTCGAGCTACTGATTATTGGAACTAGAAAACTTAAGTCTATAACAATAACTGGCAAGCCACTTTCCTTTTTTTTTTTTTCATTCTTTGGTAAGCTTTTTTAAAAAAAACAAACGTCTTTTGGGTAATGACGAAAAATTACAGTTACATAACTTTTCCCCCTGGAAGTCTTAAGTAGGCCACACAGCAATGCCAAAAATCAAATGTTACTTCTATGTACAGAATTGAGGGGAATAAATTAAATATAAAACGTGCAATAAAATGCTTTTTTTAAAATTTAAACAAATTTATTTTAGGCACTAATTTTTGTTTTTTTTAAGCACAGAACCTGTGATTATTGAATTTAAAAAATTTTAAAACCCCCACACGGGTTTTAAATATATGAGCATTTTTATAACTTAAACTCTCAATGATATCAAATCTTCCTGGTATATAAAAGAATGGTGCAATGATATGCACAACAAAGGGACCTAGCCAATATAGGTGGTACACGGGGTCAAGAGACTTCATTGCATGCACTTAAACAAAGTTCCCTAAGTAGTTTGCTTCAGCAATGAAAACCTTTAAAAGCTTTCCCCAGGCAATGATTTTTCCGACCTCTATCGTCAAAACTGTACAAAAAATTTAATGGGACTGTGAAAAATCTTCTTTTAAGGGCTTTTTTTTTTTTTTTGTTTTTGTGCACTGACAATTGTATTTTATAATTTCGTGGGGGGATTTTAATTTCTTTGCTAAAAATGTTTTTTTTAAGATTGGCCCCCCCATGAATCCAGTCAGAGTGTGGGAAACCTTTGGGGTTTTAAATACCTGAAAAAGAAAAAAAATACAAAATGATAAAAATTTTTGCTTACCATGTACAATTTTTTATGGCATTTTTAAAAAAACGTAGGTGGATGGGTCACAACAAATGCAAAATTGAATAGAAAACCGAGTAATTAGTCACCCCCAAGTCCATTACTTATTTATTTTTCCCAAGTTTTTCCAGGCTTAGTGAATTTGCTTATACAGCTAATTTCATAAAAAAAAATTTTATTTTGTGATGTATTGCTCAGAAAACTACTAAAACAACACTGTGCCTTCCCGGTTGTTTGTTTTGACACAAAATATCCAGCAAGCGATCCCAGCCGGGAACCAGGCCCCTTATCCTGATCATGAGGGGGCCCCGAGTCTCCCTGACAAAAATTTTTTACCCCTTCACTGTACCGTACCAAAAAGAATATTCAAATTAATTATTGGAAAGTTTTTAAAATTAAATTTCCTAAATTTTTTTTATAAAAAGTACCCTCAACATTCTCAACTTTAAAAAAACTTTCCGGCTTTAATTTTTATAAAAATAATAATGAACATTTTTTAAAGAGAGAGAAAATAAAAGCGTAGCACTGCATGCAAAAAATTTTTATTGGAAGCTCACCCAGACACTCATTTTATCATATATAATGACATTGATGCCTTTTTTTCCTTGCCAATCTTCACAAAGGCGGGAATCTAGGATGGGACATCTACTACCTGCAACTCTTTGGGCGTAACCGTGATCCGGGGGGGGGGGGGGGGGGGGGGGGGGGGGGGGGGGGTTTTTGGGGGGTTTTTTTGGGGGGGGGGGGGGGGGGGGGGGGCTGGGGAAAAAAAGTCTTCAGTGTGCTGAACAAATGATTTGAAGAGGTCTTCTCAATAAGAATGGGCTATACCAGGCAGATTACGGATAAGGATACACCGACAGGTATTGGGCAACATTCAGGGAAAGAGGTAAAAAAAAAAAAAAAAAACTTTTGGATGGCGCTAGATACCACAAAGGCAATGAGGCCAGACAAGGCATCACCATGGATTATGTGAGAGGCAGCGGAAGTGCCATATCATTACTAAGAACTATTATCAAATCGATGGATATGGAAGAGTTGCTAGATATCCTGGAGGCAGTGAATGTAGTTCCTACATTCACTGACATGTGTACCATGCAAGGTTATGGAGGAGATAAAGAATGATATGGCCCTTGGAAAGAGGTGGCTTCATAAACAATAACCAGAATGGGTTCAGAGATGGCAAATTTTGTCTTAAAAAGCTGTTGAAGTTTTATGACAGAGTAACAGATGGATAAAGACAAATACAGTATAATGTGATCCTCTACTGACAATGTTTCACCCACACAGTGGGCTTTATCAAGCCAGTACCTGACCAGCCGAGCTGTGGTTCGTACGTTGGGTTGCATGCGGCCAACAGTAACAGCCTGGTTGATTAAGCCCTGATCCACCATGAGACCTGGTCACAGACCGGGCTGAGGGGGTGTTGACCCCTGAAACCCTCTCCAGGTATACAAAACGTAACAGAGGTGAGGGAAGGATGGGTGGAATGCATTTTCTTAGACTCCAAGAAGGCATTAGACACTGTACAAGTGACTGGAGAAAATACTTAAGAGGCAGGCAGGGAAAACACTCCAGTGGATCACAAAGTACCTTGGGAAAAGAAAGCAGAGAGTAATTGTCCGAGAAGAGATGTCGGAATGTGGGAGACTAGCAAGTGAAATTACATAAGGATCGGTATTAGGACTAGCACTGTTTCTGATTTATGTGAATAAAAGTTCAGCTGTGATTGAGTCAGATATATCCCTGTTTGCTGATGTAAAGATAATGAGAACAGAGATGAGAGACAGGGAATCTCTACAAATAGATCTGAACAAGCTATACAATAAGTAGCTGCTTGAATTTAACTCCAGTAAATGCATGGTTATATAAGTTGGGTAAGGGGGCAAGAAGACCAGACACAGAGTATAGACTCCATGGACACTAGCTGTAGACCTCACTCGGAGAGAGACCAAGGAGTGAGAAAAGTATCTGGAATATCATCAGAGGATTGCATCAACTGAAAAATTTCTGCAGTGCTTCTTACAAATTTGAGAGTAGCCTCCAGGAATGTTGACAGTCATTCCTGGCTCTTTATATAACATATGTCATGTCCATCTTGGAGTATACAGCAATGTGAAATCTGTACCTGATGAAAAAGTTAAGAAACTGGAAAAAGTGCAGAGGTATGCAGTGAGGCTCATTACAGAGCTAAGGAATATATAATTTATAAGTAGCAGCAGCTAAAAGAATTGAACCTGACAGCACTGAAGGACAGAGGAATTGGTAGGGAGGGGGGCACAGTGGGAAATTAGACACAAATGAGTTACAGGGATGTCAGGAAGTGGAATGACCTTCAAGTGGTGGAAACAAATTCCATACATAGCTTTAAGAGCAGATACAATAGCCCACCAGGCTAGGAGGGAATGAACTTGGCAAGTTGAGAGGCAAGGCCAGGAGCTAAGGCTCAACAACACACACAGTAATCATGTTAACATTTTTTTATTAATAGTTCAATTACTTAAAACACACAAATGCTACTAATGTACACTGATACTGTTTAAATCCTGAGCATCCACTGGGAGTGGGTGGTGGTTCTTCAGAGATCAGGCAGTCTAGGAAATACAACCATATTTATAGCTTGCCTATTTCTTAAACCTTTCATAACCCAACATAAAGCAACGGTGCGGATGATCACAGACAACACACCCCACCACTCTTCAAAAGCTTGAACTTGCTTAATATACACACTTATTACTGTGCCTACTATACAGAACGTTAAACTCCAATATCAACCTGCCACTCAAATTTCTCGTAGACAACTTCAACAAAACACACAGGCATAACCCAAGGCACAAAACACTTTTTGACATTCCCTCGTGTCCGTCTCGCACTATGCAATGCACATAAAGGGCCCAAAGATCTGGAACTCTTTGCATGAAACAGCAAGAGATCCCCTGCCCACAAATCAATTTAGGACTACTCAAAAATCATCTCATCTCTCAATAACAACCATACCCACACTGTGCTAAACTTAACCAAATATTTTACTATTCCTTAACTATTAAGCCATTATTACAAATTTAAAACTGTATGTTTGCATCATTCACTGTACTACCTCGTATTAATAATAGAGTAAAATATTGAATATTTGTATTCTACCACCTGTATAGACTTAAGTAGTCTATAAGTATAGGTTAACTCTGCCTGAAATGCCTCGGCATGATAGTGGCTTTCTTTGTTCCAATCAAATTATGAAATGTAAACACACATTGTAACCTTAGCAAAGAAATAAAATTTTATTATGCCTCCCAGGAAACCCCCCTAAACTAATGCCCCAATAGCAGTATTTCTAAGTAGTGCATAAAAAAATTTTCTATACAGTAATTAGTATACAGCCATTAAAATTCATGTTACCGAGCTTAAAAAAACTCCTACAGAAATTGTGTGTGATCTTCAATTATCACATCTTTGTGTTCAGATACAAACAAGACATATCGTACCAGATTGTAAAGCTCCCCATCCAGCAGCCCAGGCATAACTTCCGAGCCAATCTGCTCCTTTTTCTGGCAAGCATATAGGCTGGACATGAGGCTGATAGTGTACAGGTGAATCCAGAGTGATGACTGCAACATCAAACCTGTCAGCCTGTGGTGTAAACTTGAACTTTGGATGGACCTGAAAGATGATATTTATGGAATAGAGGTATTAGTGAGGAGTTGGTCACAACAGCATAGGTGGAATAGTTTACAAACAAACCACACTTTGGAAAGGGAGTTCAAGATGGCATTTCTGTCCATATACAATTGTAACTTAATAGTCCTGATGATCCAAGTCATGTAGAGTTACCTCTCCAAAGTGCGAGTTATTTGTGAAAGGTATCAGTATTTACTTCAGTTTACTGGAGAGAAAAAAAGACATTTGCAAAGCTTCAACAGCCCCTTACCCATATGCCCACACCAACTGCATACTCGCCCATCATTCACCCCACACTGGACCATGGACACTGCCATCACACCATCTTGTTGCTTCTAGCCTCTAGCCCACACCCCTAGCTCTTGCTCCCACCAGCAGTCCCTAATCTCCACCCCTTCAGTCTCCCACACCAAACAATAAGGTGTCCTGTAGCTTGGTTGGTAGTACACTCAGCTCACACACTGAGGTCCATGGTTCCTTAAGACACCTGCTGTCCCTATTCACCTTGCAATAAATAGATACCTGGGTGTTACATGACTGGTGTGGTTCACATCCTGGGGATAAAATTAACCTAATTTTCCCAAAATGCTCTGCATAACGAGGGGCTTTTTATATAGTATGTCAGCTATGGTCTGTATAAGTTGAACCATGTACTTTTAGAAATAAAGATTATTATTATAAGGTACCTCTGCTGGCAGAGATGTGGTTGCAAGATCTTTGACTGATGCACGTACCACATCAATCTACAATTACGTTATTTGTTTTTTACAATTTTGATATCTATTAAACAGGTCTGGAGGAATCTGATGACTGTAACCCTATTTTTCCCATATGATTTGCAGTTCAGTTTATGTGCATTTCTGATTACATGCTCCTTTTCAGGAACACTACCGTGTTATCATGCCTCCAAATAATATCCTTCAAGCTTCTCTTGCCTAACATAAACCCCACTAATAACTGTCAGGTCAGCCTCCTGCTACGAACACACCACTCAGAATAGGAGACTTAAAATCCTATATACTATACAAATATAACAGCAACAGGGCAAATCATAAGGCAGTGAACACTTAAATGTACAGCATGCTAATGACTTCATTTGTTTTTAACAATATTTTATTACATATAAGGCATTTTGTAAACTGCAGATAAAAATAGTTATAGCTTAATACAAAATAATGATGAACATATGGGTTGCAAAGCAATTTATAAAGGAAAAAACAATGTATAGCTTGAATGAAAACAAGATTCTGAAGCACTGAACGTGCATCCAAGCACAACCTGAGCCTAGGGCAGTTAACATGTCATTGTTTCTGAAAAATGGCACCTCACTTTCCTCCCTCACCTACCACTACAATAAGTGAGAAATTATGCTCTTTTTAAATTTAGTAATGTATATAGGAGGAGTTACTAGCCCCTTGCTCCCGGTATTTTAGTCCTCTCTTAGATGCCCATGGCTTATGGAGGAAAAATTCTGTTCCACTTCTCCATGGAGAAAAACTAACTTAATAATTATTATCCTAGAAACTGAAAATACTGGCAATGGAAAATCAGAATTTGTTTTTTGATTATCCAGGTATATGATGGTAGATAAGTATTTACCTTGATCTCTGAAGCTCCAAAAGTAAGAGGATGAAGAGGCTCCCGCTCTGAATTAAGGACATAATCACCAAGTGTTACTCGAATCTGCGACGGTCGAGCTCTGTAAGTATAAATCTAGTTTGTATTATAAAGTTAATTTTATTTTCATATTCTTTGTTCATGAAAATGTGGATATTAATAATGTAATTGCTGTTAAAATAGTTTTTGTGGCTTGGCAGAACATAAACTAGCACTTTATGAAAGACATTACACAGTGTGTGCTGAAATGCTAATGTAGATAAAAGAATGCATTGTTACCTTTTGATCTTTTTGAGATATACAGTGGAACCTCAAATTTCGAACATATCACTTATTGAATGCTTTTTTTCAAACCAACTTTGTCCCTATTATCGAACTCGCTCCTATTTTCGAACTGCTGGGTACCGGACCTGTCCAGCAGCCCGCTCTGTCCGCATCCCCGCGCAAGTGTCATGAGCCAATCTGCTTTTGTGATGCTTGAGTGAACACTAACCTGCGCTCTCATTCAAACATTTTATGATTATTTCATTGTGTTTAGTGCTTGTGGGACAGTGAAATAAGCTACCCAAATAAACTTGCTAGTGGTACCCCTGTGGTAAAGAAAGTGAGAAACATTATAGATGTAAAGAAGGAAATAATACAGAGGTGTGAGACTTGTTGAACTTGCCAGGATGTATGGGAAAAACAACTCGACCATTGGTTCTACCCTGGCAAAGAAAGAACAAATCAAGGAAGCTGATGTTGCGAAAGGTGTTAATATGCTAACCAAAAAAAGACCACAGAGAATCGATCAGGTTGAGAGGTTGTTGCTGGTGTGGATCAAGGATAAAGAGATGGCAGGTGATAGTGTTTCAGAGACCATTATTTGCGAAAAGGCAAGGAAGTTGCATGCCGATAGTGAATTTAAGGCCAGCAGAGGCTGGTTTGACAGATTTAAGAAGCGTAGTGGCATACACAATGTTGTAAGGCATGGTGAGGCAGCCAGTTCAGACAGATGGGCGGCTGAGAAGGTTGTACAGAAGTTTAAGGTTTATGTAGACACTGAAAAATTAAAACTCCAACAAGTGTTCAATTGTGACAAAACAGGCCTGTTTTGGAAGAAAATGCCAAAGAGGACCTACATTACTCAGGAGGAAAAGGCACTCCTAGGTCACAAGCCTATGAAAGACAGGCTAGCTCTTTTATTCTGTGCTAATGCTAGTGGTGATTTTAAAGTGAAGCCTTTACTTGTGTATCATTCAGAAAATCCCAGAGTGTTTAAGAAAAACAATGTCATAAAGAACAAGTTATGTGTCCTGTGGAAAGCAAATAACAAGGCATGGGTCACAAGGGAAATTTTCAAAGAGTAGGTCCATGAAGTGTTTGGCCCCAGTGTGAGAAAATACCTCCTAGTCAATAAATTGCCACTCAAGTGCCTCCTGTTAATGGACAATGCTCCTGCTCATCCTCCAAACTTATTAGACCTCTTGTCTAGGGACTTCAGTTTTATAACAGTGAAGTTCTTGCCTCCTAACACCACTCCTCTCCTCCAGCCCATGAACCAGCAGGTCATTTCTAACTTCAAAAAACTCCACACAAAAGCAGTGTTTGAAAAGTGCTTTGAAGTGACCACAGACACTTAAGTTGACCCTAAGAGAGTTCTGGAGGAATCCAATATCTACAGCTCCATAAGCCTTATAGGTAAGGCTTGGGAGGGAATGATTTCCAGGACTTTGAACTCTGCTTGGAGACAATTGTAGCCAGATTGTGTCCAAAAGAGGGATTTTGATGGGTTTAAAGCTGACCCTGTCCCTGACCCACTGCCTGTTGTGGAACACCCTGGGGCTGGAGGTGAGTGGCGAGGATGTGGAAGAGTTGGTGGAGGACCACAGGGAAGAGCTTCATCTGGAACAGTATCAGACCACAGCTGAGGACCTTGCTTCAGAGGAGGAGGAAGAGGGAGTGGATGAGGTGCCTTCTTCAAAGATAAAGGAGATTTGTGCCAAGTGGAATGATGTCCAAATGTTTGTGCAGAAGTACCATCCTGAGCAAGCCATCTTTGCAACAAGTTCAGTGACAAAACCATGTCCCATTTTAGGGAAATCTTAGAGGTGCCAGAAACAGAGGACTGTGGACAGTTATTCAGTGACTCTCAAGCTGGTCCTAATGGCATTAAAAGACAGAGAAGGGAAGTAACCCCAGAGAGGGCGTTGATACCTGAAGTCCTCATGGAGGGGGATTCTCCTTCCAAACTCCCTATCTTCCAGATGCCATCTTCAATAAAGGTAAGTAAAAATGTTATTTTATATTTCTTCTTCTTTCAACGTACCAGCTGTATCCCACCGAGGTGGGGTGACCCAAAAGGAAAAACAAAAGTTTCTCCTTTTACATTTAGTAATATATATACAGGAGAAGGGGTTACTAGCCCCTTGCTCCCGGCATTTTAGTCGCCTCTTACAACACGCACGGCTTACGGAGGAAGAATTCTGTTCCACTTCCCCATGGAGATAAGAAGAAATAAACAAGAATAAGATATAGAAGAAAACCCAGAGGGGTGTGTATATATGTGTAGTGTGACCTAAGTGTAAGTAGAAGTAGCAAGACATACCTGAAATCTTGCATGTTCACGAGACAGAAAAAAAGGACACCAGCAATCCTACCATGTAAAATAATTACAGGCTTTCGTTTTGCACTCGCTTGGCAGGACGGCAGTACCTCCCTGGGCGGTTGCTGTCTACCAACCTACTACCTAGGTTTATTTACATTTATTAATACATAATTGAACATTATATTTGTTGTATGTAAAACTGTAATTAATCTCTATAAAATGTATTTTTGGGTTTCTGGGACGGATTAATTGTATTTCCATTATTTCTTATGGGAAATATTGCTTCACTTTTCAAATTTAGAACTAGGTCCTGGAACGGATTAAGTTCGATATTTGAGGTTCCACTGTACTGACCAATTACGAAATATGATTTATCCTAGAAAAAAGCGAAATTTACAAATGATAACGACATACCTGGCAACGCAATGACCAGCAGTGACCACGTGGTACTGATTGATGAGAGATCCTCCACATCGACTTGAGCCAATCCGGATGTAAGCCTAAGGGTCAGGTGAGGTCAGGTAGGAGAGGATGGGATGCAAAATGTATCATGAAAATGACCTGATATTTTCTCTATATATCCCTAAGTTTTATCACTTTTATTTCATCCATAATCAAACGTCCAGGCTATACTAGTCAGGCTGCAATTACCTTCTACTTAGTTGTGCAAGAACTCCCTATGCAAACGTCTGTAGTCAAAATACTATTTACTGTAATTTTTAAGTATATGTAAATTGCTTATAAAATCTATAAAAAGGCATTTTAGGTTTGCAACAGTTTTTATAAATAAAAATTATGATGAAGCAACTGTAATCCTTAGCTAGAAGACTACTGGCCAAATTATTTACATTTTCATCTAGCTGTACAAGTTTGAAAAAATATTAAAATTGGTTAGAATAAAAGTTATTAAATATATTAGTTATCATTAAAGCATTTAGTATAAGAAATTTTCATCCTGTTCTTAATTGGTGAAATCTTATTAAAAAAAGAGATGTAAGGTACCCAGAAATATTTGAGAGCAATACTACTACTATGATAACCCTTATTATACAATTTTGTCATGTCTTATGAGTTAACTATTTGATAAATGTTAATATTAAATACCTCTAAAACTTGTTTAGAAAACAAATTCTATGGTCCTCGGTCAATAGCTGGAAAACAGTGAAAAAAGTACACACCCTAATTTTAAGCTTTTACACATGTCAGCAAACAAATCTACATATGAGTTATTTTTTTTATAACCCCTTCCAGGGCAATTTGTGTCATCCTGCCTTGTCCCCTGCATGATGGTCAGGTCCTGTATGGCTTTACCACCCTCTGTCAGAAGATTCCCTATTTCTGCATCAACATCTTTGAAGGAGGCTGCCAGGTCATGACCAGCACCACACTGGCAGTGTCTTGCTCTGCCCTGTTTACCAGTACAGTATTTATTATCTGTCAAAGGTCTCATTCAAGTTACTGTACCAAGTGTCAGGAGGTGTCATGTCTTGCCACAGCCACTGTAATCCATGTCTTGAGATGTTCAAACTGTCTGAGGTTACACTGTCCACTGCTCTGCAAGATTTTCTTAGGAGTGATACTTTATGATTTTCAAGATATACATCTGATTTAGGTAGGCCTATGTTTGAGTATATTAATATTTGCCAGTTACAATGTACATAACACTTGAAAATGTCCACAGCATAAAAACAAATTGTAACTAACCTAATAAGTCATCTTGGTATATCCCCTACAACCAGCTATTTTTGCTTAAGTTTAAACAAAATTAGGAATAACAAGTATTCTGATACAGGCACCACAGTGTACCAGACTTGGCAGTTAACTAATAATGTAACCATGACAGCTTCTCTATGTAATCACATTACAAAGAACTGAGATTTTTGCCTAATATAAATCAGTATAAAATATGTTACATATTTCTTGAAAAAAAAAGTTTGTACTCACGATGTATTGAGATTTACAGAATAAAAAAAAAAAAAAATTTAGTTTCTGACATAAATCTCTTAGTAACAAACATAATGAGATAGTGAAGGTAGTTCATAATGGAACTCGATATTCAGATTTCATTTTTGAGATATAGGGTTTTATTGGCTAGTGTTTTACATTTTGGGCTTGTACAGCTTCCATGATGAAAAGTGTTGCTTTTCATTACTTATAACCTATTGTTAAAACAGGGCACATCTAGTTTCATGACCTTACATTTTTTTTTTTTTCAACAAGTAGGCCGTCTCCCACCGAGGCAGGGTGACATATACATCTTAAAATTTTGTTTGACTGCATTAACCTTCAACCAGGCTACCTGTGTTTTATGAAGAGTTAAACCAGTGAGGGGCTATTCAATGAAGAGCGGTGGCTATATCCCTCATCATAATATCTTTATGTACTATACCTCTCAAAGGTTTCTTGATCCAGGGAACTGAATCTGTGCTCCAGTTGCTTGAATACCTTCCATCCCCCCCCCCCCCCCGCACGCTGAACAATCTATGGGTTTAGCGCTTCCCCCTTGATTATAACAAATTATGTACAAGGTATACAGGCCTAAGTGACATTATAATATATAGAAAGCCCCTTGTTATGCAGAGCATTTCGGGCAAATTAGGCCAGTTTTGTCCCAGGTACCCATTTACTGATTGGTGAACGTAGACAACTAGTGTAAGGAAACATGTCGGATGTTTCCAGCCCTTCACTGGGAATCATTTGAGTGAGGATGAAGATAACCTATACAAGTGGAAATTACTTGACATGTAGTGTGGTTTATTCTTTAGAGTAGGGGATAACTACCTAAGGCCTCTAAAAAAAAAATATTTTGAACACAAAATACGTTCTGGCCGATGTAACATGTTAGAAAATAAATTCTGTTGAAGTTATCAAGCGAAGAGCTTTGTACATATCTTCAGGCCAATAGAAACAAGATGTAAAACTGATCAAACAGTATATAGGTACCAGTGGGAACAATTAATTAAAATGTTCATTAGAAACTAAGACTACAGATAATGATTATATTCCAACTTGGTTGTCTATTCAAACCAAGTTCAGTATATTTAGTTTTATACCACAAATGTACTTCAATTTTTAGAAAAAAATTTACACCCATCAAAGGGTCAATAATAAATATTGTGCACTGATATATCTAGTCAGTAATACATGCAACACCTGCCATTAAATTTATTTAATAGTATTTTAATACAGGGAATAAGGCATCCATCAAAAGGATAAATTAGAGCCAACAGCACTTATGAACAATTTATATACAGTGCCATACTATATCTTGTAAAATTGAAAACTGAATCGAGAGAAAACAGTTATTCAATAGGATAACTTTTTACTGCCATTAAGTATAAAATCTTAAATATTTTGTGCCTAGAGCAGCTGAGTTGAAGATAGTGGTGACTACACTAACCTTGAGGGCAACCTAACAGATCTCTGATAAAATTCCACCACAATGTATACACACTGTTGTTGGCTTGATCAGTTTTTCAAGGAAATGTGAACTATAGAGTAGAATTGAATAACTAATACGGGTTTGCCATAGCCCTTTTCTGTGATATTGGAGGAAAGCGGTGGGGAATGACTCAAAAGGGGTTTTATGTGAATCTAATAATTGAAAGATGAGATGGTGTGCATACAAGAACAATACAGGATGGAAATAATGACAGGATTTTCTTAAATAAATATTCTACTTTGTGCAAGTATACAGTAGACCACTGCTCAGTGAATGATCACCTTCCAGAAAACTAGGACTGTACCCCTCATTTCTTTGACTGAGGGAAACTAATTTATTACACAAACTCTCACTGCTACTAACCTTGACCATTGTACAGTTCTATATATCTCATGAAGGGAAGGTTTAACAAATGTTTTGTATATAATAAAATCCTCTGGTTGGTTTCCACTTTGAATATCCTGTACCAGGTCAAAATGAAATGTACACTAAGCTGAATTAAGTACAAATAAATTTTTAATTATATTTTCCTCAATTTTTTACCCAAATCATTCCTTTTTCTGTAAATAATAGGATAGTGTTTTGTATGGTAAATGTTTATTAAGTGGAATTTGCAGTCATAGGGAGATATCACAGACTTGTTGGATTTTTTAACAATACCTCTTTACATATGGCTAATATTGACATTCGGACGAGATAAATCTCCTTTATATATTCTGAACAAAATCCAACAGTTCAATTTTAGTGTCTAGTGCCAAGTCTAATTAGATTGATCAAGGTATTTTATTTTGTTCATAATCCCACTAAATAATGGATCCATCTACTGAAAGTACATACCCTTTAAATTCATCACTAAAGAAAAAAAATCAACAGAGCATATATATGGAATATCATCTCAGGTCACTTCCATGGGAATATAGAGCTGCTTAAACTTTCCTTTGCTCCCTAAGCTAGGGAACTAATATACCAGGAGAAGGGTGGGAGTGACCCTGCTAGATAATGATGTATTACCACAACAAATAACTTAGAAATTTGCATAAAATGATGAAGAGGGGAATAGCTACTTTGCAAATATTAAAGAAGCCTTTGAAAGAAGATATGGAAAAGGAGTCGTCAAAAAAATAACCCAGGTGCTCTAACGGTGGGAAGAGTACTTTTCAGAAAACTAAAAATACTGAGGAAATAAATATACAAGTTGCTATATAGTAAAGTGACAAAACTGAGATTGTAAAGATCTAGTACGTTTGTGACTCAGGAATTAATTAAATATTTTTACAATACTTGAAAGTACTGCAAAAAAAAAAAATCTATTATTACTTGAAATTTTAAGCCAAATTTGCTACTTTAGGTTATTCAGCAAGCATCATTTCATCAATCAAGCCAAGCATAAATTCTTTGTTCCAAGTAAATACATCTAAAGGGCATAATAATGTACAATACTGTGTTTCATTAATGATACCCACTTAAATCAAGCTATATTATGTTGTTAGCAAAGGTTAAGTTAATATATACTGTTTGGCACTTATTTATAATACATTACACTATATTCTATATTTGCTCATAATATATCCTGATTTCTAAACTAAGTGCATTACACAACACGAGATGAAGTCTGACCTGCCAGGGAAACGAGCCAAAGCCAGCCTCGGTACCACCAACAATCCTGCGCTGGGCAGTCAGGCGGCTGCTTACACTCAGACCACAGCCTGTAAGTAATGTTGCTTACATGATGAAATAAAGAATATTGCAAATATAATGAAAAAATGCTATTTAGCATAAAAAAAATCTTGAGTATTTTAGTGCTCTTCCTCATACACATCAATGATCTCCTTGAACTTGCTCTGTGTGCAGATGAACAACTTATTCACAGATATAACATAAAAACCTCTTCAATATCCCTTGAGTCTGAGTCAGCCTGTCTAAAAACTCAATGAGCATGGAAGTTTCTAAAGGAACCCTATCTACCAGTCATTTGCTGTATAGCCCTTGTGGCTTAGTGCTTCTTTTTGATTATAATAATATCAGTCACTTCAAAGCTATTGTTAAACAGCATCTCATCATAATATAATTCAGACAGCAATTTGCTAGTCAAACAATACCTATCCTCATCCATATATGTCCCTGTTCTTCTTCCAGCCTTCCTTCTATTACATTTGTATTGTAATTAAAGTAACTTGCTATAATCTCACTATCTCTATTTAATCACACTAAAAATTACTGAACCTCTTTGAATAATGTTTTGTAATTGACCGCTTTGTCTTTGGTGACCTTGTTGAACATATGATTATATTTAACTATATACAAGAAATCCTTCATAATGCTATGTCTAGTTCTTTAGTACAGGTTGGCCATCACTGGAACCTGTATTGTGCCGGATTACAGAGTGGTTAGGTTAGAATACGCTTAATTAACCTATCAATACTCTTTGTGCTTCATTTTCATCACTGCTTTCTCCTCCATTGGCTTGCTGCTGTGGATTTACAACCATCTGAATCAGTTTAGTGATGGCTGACCTGTATACTAGTTTGTAAACTTTATGATTCATTGACCAAAATGTACTACATAATTAGTGGCTTTTTTTGTGCCTACTATTTTATTTATGTATCTACATTACCTGTATGACCCTGGTGGGTTCAGAACTTAGTTTTGATTATAAATAATGTCTGCTCACTGTACCTTGCCATTCAATACAAATTGAGGGTCAGTTTATTTCTGTACACAAAAAAAATAATTATATATGCAAAAATGAATAAACATTATTAAATATATTTATTAGTCTATATAATAAATAAAAAGAATGTTTTAAGTTATTTTTCTACTTCATACCTTGATCATTCCTGATAGGGCCATAATCTACAGGAATAAGACCCACACTGTCATCTCTGTATGACTCCGGACCTCGCTGTCCTCTCTGGTTATGCCGGACACAACAAGCAAAGAGAAACCCTCCACAGCCTCCTTCGATCAAACCTCCACTTATCCAGCACAGCAGGAAGAATTCACAGGTTCCAGAGTAACAAAGTGTCGGGTCACCCAAGAACAGCCGCTTGGTGGCATGTGATATGCCTGCAATATGGAAATAACTTTATCTATAACCCCTTCTCCTGTAAAAAGAACCTTTGTTTTTCTTTTTAGGTTACCCTGCCATGGTGGGAGATGGCAGGTACATTAAAAAATATATGTATAGGTGTTCTATGACCCTTAAGGGTTTAGCATTTTTCTGTGAAATACGAAAGTATAATTACATATCTATGGGTGCTGTGGGACCCCTAAATGTTAAGAGTTTTTCCATGATACCAATCATATTCTACAAACCTCAGTACAGGAGGGCTCCACTTATACAGCAGGTTAGGTTCCAGGCTACTCCTGTAAAGCGAAAATTGCTGTACCGTGAATCATAGCATTCTTTTGCATTTAAAAGCCCAATAACATGTTTACACTATCATATATTAAGTGATCAGTATAGCTAGGCCTAAAAAATGCATATACAGTACTTACAGTAAAATATTTTTGTCCTTAGATTATAGTGAGTGGTGAATATATTTATTGTAGGAAGTCTAAATAAATGAAGAAGGGGTATAGTTCAAAACTGCTGTAAAGTGGGGCCTGCCTATATTATGAATTGCTAATAGTTTTTATATAAATAGTTCAAATAAATCCTAGTACAGTGGACCCCCGCTTAACGATCACCTCCAAATGCGACCAATTATGTATGTGTATGTTTGGGGGTCTGAAATGGACTAATCTACTTCACAATATTCCTTATGGGAACAAATTCGGTCAGTACTGGTACCTGAACATACTTCCGGAATGAAAAAAGATCGTTAATCGGGGTCCACTGTATATTAATTAATATTACTATTGGAAATTCTTTAATAAAGGCTACTAGAAAGGTTTGAACTTCAGTGCCTCCTTAAGAAGTAATTGTTACAACATACTGGATGTAAAACTTCGTTGAGATGTAGTGCGAATGTTGCGGTCCAGAGGTAGTGCACGAGGCCTGTCACTGGGTCCTCCTGGGCCCTGCAGGTCTCCTCCCAACAGTAATTCCTGCTCCAGCTCTGCCATACCTGTCCCTGCCAAGCCTAGTCGTTCTGCCATTTGGGTTGCTTGCAGAGCGTCTAAGCTAAATCTAGAATTTAAAGTTTACATGTTAATGGTGTGGCTACATTATTTATGAAAAAAGCTTGCTAGGAATTTTTTTTTTTTTGCTAAGCCTTTAAGAATGGCTTTATTTTGTGCTGGTTTATCCCCTCAAGGAAGGTTCCTTGATGTTGGTGAGGGGCTCTTGATTTAGGGAATTGGATCTGTGTTCCAGTTCCCTGAATGCCTTCCACACCCCCCCCCCCAGGCACTGTATAATCCTCCGGGTTTAGTGCTTCCCCCTTGATTATAATAATGTGCTGGTTTATTCTACTGTATAAAAGTATTGTATTAATTTTCACATTTTTAGTGAATATAAAAAATAAATGAATGCTAAGTGTTGGAGGGTTAATAAAGTGTTATTCATGAAAATTTGTGATCCACCAGTGTTTAGCATGCATTGTAGTTGTCTCACTGTGCTACCACAGCCATGTTGCTTTATCTGGTTTCCTGTTTACTCCTTATTTGTTCAACCTCTATCACACCTGATATTACCTCTGCTCACCCCAATCCACCACCACTTTCTTTCCTGGGGACATACAACGTAGATCAGCCCCTTTCTATTTTGGAAGGTAGGTTCTTTCCTTTTTATCAGGCAAAGGCCAACAATGCATGCAGAGGCAGTAAAAGCAAAACTATTCCCAGTCAGTGCTCCTTCCTGTCTATGACTTATCCTTTTCCCTCTCTTGCCTTCCTGATCTTCCAATGAATCATAGATTTCACTCTCGCCTTCTCCTCCTGATTTAACTTTTTAGACTGTTTTAATGTTCTCTCTTGGTCCTTCTTATTGAAGTTCTATTCTTTTTTCTCAGTTCTTCAACTTTTCTTTATTTCTGCATCTCCTCCTCTATTCTCTTGTAAACCCAATCACCCTTACTTATACTATTCTTTGGATTAAACCTTTCCATTCTGTGAAAGTTTCCAAATCTCCTGGTCATTCTGGATGAGATTTACCCCAGGGATCGTGTTTCATATTGCGGAAGCAAGAGGAAGGGGATGACTCCCTCTACTGGTATCCCTTCAGAGGGATGGAAGGGTACCATGGTGCTGCTGAAGGGCTATTAATCCAAGGAACTAAAGCTACCATTACAGTCTGTGGATCGAGCTTAATTACCTACCATCACTCAGACAATGTGTAAAATTTAAGGGCTTAACACTTTCAATGAAAATGACCCATACTGATTTAGTGCTGTGCAATGAATCTAATAAAAGTGTGCACAACAGGAGTACATTCAGGTGGTCTTAAGGCAGAAAATTTGTGCATGAGCATTTACTGAACACTTGTCTAATATTTGCATTGAAAACTATTTCAAAAGGTTTCTATGTACTTATTCATACCACAGACAGACAGCTGTGAATTATTACCATGCAACAGATATTGGAATGATTCAATGAAGCTCAGATAATCCCAAACATGTATAACTTAACACTTACCTTGTTAAAATACTGTTGTATTCTTCTTGTGAAACAGTGGCAGATTCAGTATCAATGGATTTATTCAACAGAGGTGAGCCATCATTGAGTACTGTTGAATTGTGATGAGGAGGTTTAGAGGAAATGGCGATAGCAGTAGTGGATTCAGAAGCACTCGCAGTGAGGCCGGAGAGGAAAGGATCTACTGGAGATGGAGCAAATGATGATGCAGAAGAATGTATAATAAGACTTCTGGAAGAAGATGAACTCAATGCATGACTAGCTGTGGCTCTGAGGTGACCAGTCTCTGACATGACCAGTACGTGGTTTGATGTGGCATGGGTATTATTGTGTGTGGCAGTATTTTTATTGTGTAAAGGAGTTGGACTTCGAATGTGCCGTAGATATATAGTTGATGATGACCGCAGTTCATCTGTAGGAACGACATCTAATTCCATAACAGTGTGTGTGATAGGACTGGGTGCGAGGACTGATTTTACACTTGGCGATAAATGAGAAACCAGAGTTGACTTTGTCTGAGTGGGGCTGTATGCAGGTTTACTTAGGTCATACAATGTTGTGTGGTGCGTAAGGAAAGGAGCCATCTTTAAGTCATGCGTAGGATCCTGACTCGAGAGGAGGACTGGATCTTCACGTAGCGATGGCAGCAAGTAATGGCCAGGAGAGGTACTTTCTGATGTTTTGTTAAGATCATCTCCTAGTGATGAACACGCCAACACAAGTAATGCGGCTGCCACATAGTGGAACATGGCCGCACCCCGGCCCGTCTGGAAAATAAATTTTAAATAAGAATATGGCTTCTCTTTTAACTCTGGTTCAATTTAAAAGAGCAGCATAAATACATATAATTAAACTTATGGTAAAATATAAGTACAGCTTCTCCTCACTTAGCGACGTACTCGTTTACCAACGACTCGGACTTAAGATGGGCTCATTGATCAGTATGCATACCTAAATAATGTATATTAAAGCTGATTTCCTCTATTCTGTTTATTACAATATACAGTACACTACTGTATATTATTATTATAATCAAGGAGGAAGCGCTAAACCTGGAGGATTATACAGCGCCTAGGGGGGGGATGTGGAAGGCATTCAGGGAACTGGAGCACAGATCCAATTCCCTAAATCAAGAGCCCCTCACCAACATCAAGGAACCTTCCTTGAGGAGACACACTACTGTATAAATATTTAAAAATATACCAGGAATGTTATAAATGATGCATAGGTGACATTAAAAGAATATCAAAGATGGTTGACTGAAACCCACTACCATTATAGTATGCTCCTCAATTAGTGACAAATTCATTTACCGACTTGGTCTTAGGAACACAACTCCATTGATAAGTGAGGAGAAGCTATAAATATTATACTGTATATTAGTAATTTTTTTATTATGGGGTGCAAATTGTGGTACTCAGCCTCAGAGAAGAGAAGTGAAATAAATATTCTGGGATCTTAGTAACATGCCAAACTAGATGTCTAATAGAACAGACAGGATCTGAACCTATTGAAAATCCCAAAATTAAGAAGTGAATGCTCTAACCATTGTGTTATGCTGGGATAAAAAGATTCATCACACTAGGTACATTGTGAAGGTTAGCATGGGCCAAACTGTGAATACAAATGCAGATTTTTATAGCTGAATCTCACACAGCATGGTGAAGCTTAAGCCATCAGTTCAGATCCAGTCTGTTATGTGATTTCTTTTGGTAAATCATGTTATTGATAATGGCTTTGAAAGGAATTGTGCTAAATCTTCCTAGTCACTTAAGTGTGAGATTCACCTGCTTGTGTGGTCACAGCAAGGCCATTAGTAACCTGGGAGTTGTTGGAATGTGGGAGTGAGTTGCTGAGGTGTGGGAGTGGTTAGTCACAGCATCCTAAAAGTAGTTAAAACAAGAATCAGATGTGAGAACAAGAGAATTGTGGGAGAGTGATAGGGGATGGAAGAGAGTGGCATATAGGAGGAGGGACTAAAGGGGATGGAAAGGAGTATGAGAGACAAGAGAGGGAGGTAGGATAAAAGAAGGGAGTTTACCATAAGCTGATAGTTACATACTGGGAACAAAAAAAATCTAATTGTTTCTCCCTGTCATTTTCCATCACAAAGGATGTGTCAGCTTGAGTTGGGAGACTTCAGAAGTGTAATAATAATAATTACCATACTAGGAAGTAGCCGCCGGAAGCCTCATTGACCTGAGAATAGAGAAGAAATACGTAGTTAATAGCGTAAATGTCCTCCACTCAAAGGGATAAGTCATCATACAATTTATATAAAAAAATGGCAAATAAAGTTATGAAAAGTGTGCACATATGACGATGTTTCGGTCTGGCTCAGATTATTGTATCTATCGTGTAGACGTTTCACCAACCAGTGGCTTTGTCAATACAGGAAGGAAGAGGTTGAAGATGAGGTAATCAGTCCCTCAGCCCAGGAGTACAGGAAGGAGAAAACATTGGTGGTTATAATTATAACCTTAATTTTTAAAGAGGGTGGACTGGTAGGCCTCGGCCAGATGACCAAAAGCTCCAGCTGTGGGTCATCATATGAATAAAGCCCTCAGGAAACACTTGTCCTGTTCCCTGATAAACCTCACCAACCAAACAGGAAGAAGAAATGTTGGTGAATATAATTTAGGAGGCAGTACCAGGAGCTGTGAGTTGATCCTGACATGCATGCCTTGGGGACCAACATTTTCACTCTCAAAAACCATGCTGTCTTCAGGTTGAAAAAGCTGTTATTTGCACTATTTCTTCAGCAACTACTATTGGCTTTCACAAAATCCTAATGGCACTTTTATTAAGTGATGATTTAAGTGTCATGAAGCCACTGTATGACTGTGTTAAAGTACCATCTTATGCAGCAACAGCCTGGTTGACCATCCTAGCCTGGCCCATGGCTGGGCTCAAGAAAGTAGTAAGACTTTCGAAACTCATCAAAGGTATATGAGAGGTAAGGTGTGATTATCTCTAGCCACTGTAATCATGCTGACTCTACCCAGTGGCCACAGGAGACAAAGGACCCCAATAGAAACAAGTCAATTTGACCTGACCATTTTTTGGGGTTATCCTAGGTAATTTAGACTGTGTGATAATTGTACTTATGTGTAGCTGTGCCTAAATAAACTTACAAATTGTTCACATCAATGATGCTTGATCAACCTTCCAGAGGGGAGAATATTTTTTTCCAAGGTTTCATATTTTTGACTTTGTTCTGACGCAATTTGGGCAGTGCTATTACAGTGCGTCCTTTTCTGTCTGCATGACATGATGTGAATAATAACTAACATGGAGAGAATGATGGGGAACTTCAAGCAACCAGGAATTACATAGATGAAAGATTTAAACAGAGAGAGACATTGAAGAAGCTATAATAAAGAATAAAATATAGAATTTTTTCATTGTATACAATGAATAGGTTATGTTAATGGGGTTTAAAGCTAGTAACCTTTTCACCACCTCATAAGAACACTTTAATCCTGGTTGATCAGGGGCTGATCCACCAGGAGGCCTGGTCACAGACTGGGCCGCGGGGGCGTTGACCCCCGAAACTCTCTCCAGGTAAACTCCAGGTATACCCTATGTTGGAACTTATTCGGTCCGAGAAGTCCCAACGGGGAAAACACACCGTTCGAGGGCCCTTAAACCCACCCAAAACACAAACACACTCACCTGGGTTGGCAAAGGTGGTTGGAAGGTACTTTTTAATTGATAGGTTTACCCTTCAGGGAAGAAGTAGGTAGTTTATACTGTTAGTACAGTAATATTAGGATTATTAAGGCAACTCTAGATAATAATAATGTAGACCTAAGACCTTAACATAGGTAGTAATAGGCTGAATGTTGGCAAACACTAGGTTATGTTAGCTAGGGAGAATTGGCAGCCCAAGTTTGAACAACGAGGCGCGAGTCTCAAAGACGCCAGAGCTTGCTTCTATGACTAGACACCATCTGAACAACACGTGCCATGATCAGCAGGCGGCGCCTCCACGTCTCTTCACATATGAGACCTGGGGAAATCTGGTGGAGGCACCTCGACATATCGTAGATGTCCTCCTCCATCAGGCCCATTCAGTAAGACAAGACCTCCACTTTTTCTTAGGATTCTGGCCAGTGTCTGGGGAAAGTTGCGAGTGAGTTGAGCTGTAGGCCTTTGTGCAGCCGGCAGTTCATGACCAGTACGTACTTTGTCTCTTGTCAGCCTAGAAGCTAGTGTCACTTTCTGCATAGTTATTCTAGGGGATTTACCCCCCCTTGGAAATAGGAATTTCTGAGGTGCAGGCAGGTCACTAATAACAATTGAATGTTGCAGGAACTAAGGCTCCCGGTTGCACGTGGTTTCTGAGGGGAAGTCCAAAGGGGCTAAGCTTAGGGAGGTTGAAGACCAGAATAGCTTCTACATCACCAAGTAAGTTAGTCCTTTAAACGTGCATGCAGGCGAGATTTCTTGCAACATCAGTCATTTATGAAAATCTGTCTATAAGCCACTTGTGAGGCTGAAGTACCGACCTCAGAGCTTGGTGACAACAGAGCTTGCCAGGGTAGGCGACTCACTTGGAGGCAGTCCAGACAAATTTTCACACCCTACCTATATAATGTGCAGATCCCATTGGGACTCATATACCTATTAAATCTATTTTCCGGAACCTACAAGTGTGAGAGTACACAGGAGATACAAATTAATCTGGCCATGGATAAGGGACATAAGGTTAGGTCAGGTTAGGTTGCATCAGGTTAGGCTAGGCAGTGGCATCATAAGGGGGGGGGGCTGCCCCAGGTGACACCATATAGCCTCTAAAAAAGGTGACACTAATGCCCAAAACAGTGCTGCATCAACATAAAAGAATCCTTCGTTTCAATATAGCCTATACAGTGGACCCCCGGTTAACGATATTTTTTCACTCCAGAAGTATGTTCAGGTGCCAGTACTGACCGAATTTGTTCCCATAAGAAATATTGTGAAGTAGATTAGTCCATTTCAGACCCCCAAACATACACGTACAAACGCACTTACATAATTGGTCGCATTCGGAGGTAATCGTTATGCGGGGGTCCACTGTATAAGGAAAATCATTGATTTTGATATGATAGATGATTTTACAGGACTGAAGGCAAGGAAATGTAAGATCAAAGGACCCCAATGGAAATAAGTCACTCTGTCTGACTTTTTTGGGTTATCCCAGGTTCTCTACACATATGCTGCTATGTGTGATAATTCTATGTAACTGCATTTGTGTATACCTGAATAAACTTACTTACTTACCTGTACTCAAGGTCAAATTGGAACTAGTGTTTCTCTATTATTGCATGTCTTTTTTTTCTTTATTTTTCATTTTTTTTTTGGGGGGGGGCATTGTTGAAGATGAATAAATGTAGGATCTGTTGCCTGTTTGAGTTTATGTTTCCTCAATATTACTACGATTTTATCATTAATAAAGTTGAGAAGTATTCTCCTGTTCAGTTTATGGCCTTAAACGTTCCCATTGCTAAACATTAGTTACTGGTCATGCAGTACTGATGTAACTGGAGTTTACTACCCCCCATCTCCCTGTCCTTGGATTTCATGGGGGTGACACCAACCCAGGTTAGGCTAGTGTGGAAAATACTGTATATATTTTCCAGAAATTCAGTATTTATATGTAAATAGATGGCCATACTGTATTTAATAATATTTATATCATAGAAAACAGAAAGCCTGCATCTGCGCAGAGTAGACTCGCCATCTTGGTTTTGAACTGGATACAACGTTAATGTAATGGGAAGAATTTTTCGTGCTCTAGAGGTTAAAATTGGATTGACACCTCTCAAATAGGAGGCAAAATTGTTGGATGTGCATTCCTGCATAACTCAAGATATCAGACGACTGGACAAGACAGCTCCAGGGACCTCAGATAAGCTCTCTAGATTTGTGTATAATTCTGGCCAGTGTTTTCATAAATTTAGTTAGTGAGGTTTTTCTGAGCATGATACAACTTAATATCCAGTCAAATTGGTGAGTGATATTAAGATATATTTTCCTCCTGTTATGTATATGTGAATTTATATATAATCATTTTTTAATATACAGTCCACAAATTCATATATTTACCAACATTCCTGGTGTATGTAGATTTCATTTAATAATAGGTCCAGAGCAACTTGTGCTTATGACAGTGGTAGGTATCGAAGGGGGACATTTTTTGCGACCTAAGTGTCCCAAATTCCTACTTGTCTATGTAACATTGATAAATAATAATTATCTTTGTTATCATTTACTGTTATGTACATAATTAGTTACATTCAGATAAATGCAATTTTCCACAGCTAGGTTTGGATAGGTTACATTAGGTTAGGTTATTTTGGTTAGGTTAGGTTTGTCAGGAAATAGGACAAGTGTTTCCCGACGCGGGTCTCTTGGGGAATATGAAATAACCAGGTCTGATTCGAGGAAGAAGCTGGTAGCTGCATAATGTAGGGAGGATGAAGTGTACTCACCAGGAGTGGGGCCGGGAGCTGCTGTCTTCCTTCCTGTAAACACAAAATTCTAAATTAATTCCTTTGTATGGCCCCTGTGGGTTTAGCTGTTGGTTTTGATTGTAATAATAATTAATTCCTCGCTCGTTAGTAGATGTTAACGCAAAGGTTGACGGTAAGCCAGCGGATGGCCTCGGTCAGGGGGCCGAAAGCTCCAGCTGTAACTAAGATGAACATTCTAAAAAAAAAAATTCAAATGATTTAGATAAACAGCAGCAACAGCTTGGGTGAACAGGCCCTGATCCACGGAGGCGTTGACCCCCAGAACCCTCCAGGTAGGCAGGAAAGTCTTCATGCTTCATTTAGATCAAACAATACACTAATCTCTTCAAATATACTGAGAGAATATATGATTGAAAGAGAGGAAAAATTTACTCTTTACCAGCTCAAAGACTATGATTGCTTCAGTGCAAAAACTTACAATAATACACAAGTCACCGCCTCAAATAAGACGTGAAATTAAGCCACAAGAAAATATTTTATCACCACACATGACAAACACTCCTTTCCTTTTTATAAATTAACAAAATAAACAAGGTTCCTGAGGCGGGGAGACATAGTGGTGCAATTTCCTTTTGGTTTTAATAATTTCTAGACTTCTTAAAGTAGTGTAGTATCTTTAAATTGGACATTAAACAAGTCACTATGTCTGACCTTTTTTTTTTTTTGGGGGGGGGGGGGTTATGGAAAATTTTCTAGGGTGCTTACCTGTATGTACCTCAACATTATATACATACCAGTAATCTCATTGGGAGACAATCATATTGTTTACCGTAGTCACCCCGTGTAGACATGTGAGAAAACTTAACCACCCCTGGTCGCACCAAGTGGTCCCCTCGACCTCACAATCTTATCCATATCTATCCGAGACCAGTATGGATTGGGTAGCACCCACAAGTACGGTGCTACTAATTAATTGTGGACTGTATAGATTATATTAGTTTAGCTGAATGAAGGGGAGGGGGGTAGGATACACCTGGATACATCCGTCAAGGAAAACATTTGTACATAATCCCACTACTTACCAGATGTTCTCTGGTGGTCACTTGATGTAGCTGGATCACTCGTAACCTATCTAATTATAACATACCACTACTGGCCAGTCTAAGGTTGCTATAACTAGAAGGGTTACTTAACTGTGGGTGATTGATATTCCTCATTTCTTGATTCACCATCTCATTTTCGATGTCCTGCTACACCGACACGATTCTCATTCCAGCAGGACGAGGTATCCGCTGGTTTGTCCTGCTTTAGACGTCGTGACTCAAGGAGTTTCCCTTTCCTCGTCTCGTTAACAACGAGGTCTAGCGTGTTCACTCGGAGCAAACGACTTATTTCACTTCACATATTCTCTTAACTTAGCGTTATTATCCTTAATTACATTACAATTCACAAGAACGATTTAATGACTCAAATTATTATACACATTAGAGATCACTCCATTAAGATCTGAGACCGATGATGAGATTAAACCAAGGGTAATTTTCCCGGGGCTCAGTCCAGGACGACGCGTCAGTCACCCCCGGTCCGTACCCGTAATCACCTTTTACCACTCATTATCGTGGTCCCGTAAATCACGTTCCCTCACTCTCCACTAGGAACGGGTCACGACACTTCCTATTACGAAATGAGGCCTATATTAATCCTTAGGCCGCCGTGAATTGCCAATTTCGTGGTACCATCCCTTTTTTCCGCTTCCTCTCCACCTTCAAAAACAACCCGCCACCCCCCCCCCCGCACATCCGCGCATCCCAAAAAGGGAACTCTTGGTTCTACCCCTTATTTTAAAATACATTTTGACCCATATAGACACATTAAACACCTATTAGGCACTAATTTTTCGGAAAATTAAAAAATTTTCCACCACTGCGCCCGGGCGGAGGTCGTTGCTAGACGACTTACATAATGTGGAGTACAATTTTTTCCATTTTCCCACTGGCCACCCATATTTATTGAACTCTCAAAATGGACTAATTGGTGTTCCATTCTCTCGGGGGCATAAGCCTATGCTCCCTGGATTAAGTTATTGGGCATACTGGAATTTTGAGACTTTACCAATAACAAGTCTCTCAGTATCCCAAGTCAGCCCCAGCACATTTCTTCATTATTTCATTAACCCCTTCACATATCCTCATTAGTTCCTCTAGTCATTATTACTAGGCGGTAGTCTGCCATATATTACATGGCCCGTACCAGTGTTGAGGAGAGTGACGCCGTATGGTTTTGGATTTATGCCCTTTATCCTGAATTTTTACATCCAACACCGGCAAGGCTACCTCAGCTAGGCTATCATTATTGTCATTAGCTGCAACCTTTACATCAGTCACTGTAGTGTCAGGGTTATTAACATTATCATTATTGTCACCATTATTATAAGAATCACATACAACCCTGCACAAAACCCGTATGGTGCTTTCCCTTGTTGCATTGATAGCAACTGTTCAATTTGGTATGACAACCCTTTTACATTATGATTGTCTAGACATCTGAAAAATCTGTCAAGTTCTTTCATTCTTTCCACTTTAATATCCCATGAATTACAGGCATTACAATTTTTAGTGAAATGAGTACCTGGCAGAAGAGGCAGTCTCTCTTTTCCTTCCCTGACCTCTTATTAACGGGGTTACATTTACTGAGGTACTTATTCCTCTTACCTTGATGTGAGGAACCACTTTTACTGATCCCTGACTTGATATGTGCCTATTTAACTCTTAACTATGATTATTACCACTGGGATTATTTTTCCCTTTTGAGACTTGACAGATACTTCAGAGTCATTATGTGTTTATATCCTTAGAACTTTTTTGGCTGACTGGTCTTGCAATTGAAAAATTTAAATTCCTGCCGACCTAGTCTGTTTTCCTCCAGACCGTACTATGGAGGTTTTGGCAAACACACCCTTGCATTAATAGGTTAAACAACTGCCTGGCTTAAACCCTTTAATTTATTCAAAGCCTTACTTTACAAGACAGTTTTTTTCTTCCAATTCGTAATGTTGATTAATTAAAACATTCATTTCCATTCCATCTGTACAATTCTCTAGCAGATCTCTTTCACATTCTTTAAACCACAATTTGTACCAATCAAATCTACTCTCTAAAGCATCTAAATATAACTTTAATTCATTAGGGTTCACGGTTCTTTGATTCACTAAATCAAATGCCTTCGTCACATGGCTTTTAATAGCCTGTAATGATGCTTCATTACTCTAAAATTCACGGACTTGTCAGCCACTTTAACTCCATTAGATCCAGTCATGGTTAGAGAATTATTAATCACTGATTATACAACTTAAGTAGGCGCCTTTAAGAGTAATTCTTGCACTTTACTCTTGTATATCCTAGCCACACATGTGCTAGCAATTAATTGGGCTAATTGTCATCCATTTACACGATCGATTAAACTTGTGCACCCTACACCCACTTCCTTCAATCAGTCACTTAAAATTATTAAGTAATTAATTCAATTTAAATTTTTTTACTGATTGCACCCGGTTCTCGAAGGACCAACGGCAGCTATGGAAAATTTTCTAGGGTGCTTACCTGTATGTACCTCAACATTATATACATACCAGTATCTCATTGGGAGACAATCATATTGTTTCCGTAGTCACCCCGTGTAGACATGTGAGAAAAACTTAACCACCCCTGGTCGCACCAAGTGGTCCCCCTCGACCTCACAATCTTATCCAATATCTATCCGAGACCAGTAAAGGATTGGTAGCACCCACAAGTACGGTGCTACTAATTAATTGTGGACTGTATAGATTATATTAGTTTAGCTAATGAAGGGGGGGGGGTAGGATACACCTGGATACATCCGTCAAGGAAAACATTGTACAAAAATCCCACTACTTACCAATGTTCTCTGGTGGTCACTTGATGTAGCTGGATCACTCGTAACCTATCTAATTATAACATACCACTACTGGCCAGTCTAAGGTTGCTATAACTAGAAGGGTTACTTACTGTGGGTGATTGATATTCCTCATTTTTTTGATTCACCATCTCATTTTCGATGTCCTCTACACCGACACGATTCTCATTCCAGCAGGACGAGGTATCCGCTGGTTGTCCTGCTTTTGACGTCGTGACTCAAGGAGTTTCCCTTTTCCCCGTCTCGTTAACAACGAGGTCTAGCGTGTTCACTCGGAGCAAAAAGACTTATTTCACTTCACTTTCTCTTAACTTAGCGTTATTTTTCCTTAATTACATTACAATTCACAAGACGATTTAATGACTCAAATTATTATACACATTAAAAGATCACTCCATTAAGATCTGAGACCGATGAGTGATGATTAAACCAAGGTAATTTTCCCGGGGCTCAGTCCAGGACGACGCGTTTAGTCACCCCCGGTCGTACCCGTAACACCTTTTACCACTCTATTATCGTGGTCCCCTAAATCACGTTCCCCCACTCTCCACTAGGAAAAAGTCAAAGACAAATTCCTATTACGAAAAAGAGGCCTATATTAATCCTTAGGCCGCCGTGAATGCCAATTTCGTGGTACCATGCCTTTTCCGCTTCCTCTCCACCTTCAAAAACAAACCCGCCACCCCCCCCCCCGCACATCCGCGCATGCGCAAAGGGAACTCTTGGTTCTACTCTTATTTTCAAATACATTTTTGACCCATATAGACACATTAAACACCTATTAGGCACTATAGTTTCGGAAAATTAAAAAATTTTCCACAGGGGTTATCCTGGGTAATTTACACATATTACTATGCAAAAGCAACCACTGGGGGAGAGGAGAGTTGAATGGTAGCCTTAGGCCTTTCATGTTGCACTCAGCATATCATCAGGAGCTTACATTGTTGCAGACATTAGTAATGAAGTCCAGGTAGAGTCGTTCCCTTGAACGTAATGTATTTAAATGTGCAAGAACTTCTATAGATGTATTTAAATATGCAAAACATGTGACGTTGCACCGTCGTGTTGGACCCCAGACGTGACGTTGCACCGTCTTGCTGGACCCCAGACGTGACGTT